TACCAAATATTAACACTGATTTTCTCAGGTGTTCAAATACTTATGTTCAGCAGTGCAAGACAAATAAATTCTTTAAAAATCATACAATGTGATTTCCTGAAATTTCTTTTTAAATTCTGTCTCTCAGAGTGGGAATGCACCTACAATGTGAATGTCAGACCCCTCCATGATTTCTAAATGGGAGAACTTGCAAAATCGCAGGGTGTTCAAATACTTCTGTTCCTCACTGTATACAAAAACAAAGCAGCAAAGAGCAACTTAATCTGGAGACTGTGGCCATATTTAGAAAAATATAATCTGAGTTTAATAAAACACTGTTCAGCTATTCATATTAAACCTCAACTGTATGAGTCTGGTTTTGGTCTCTGTTCTTTTAATAAACTGCTTTATAAACTACCCGTCTTGAAAGTCATACAGGGAAAACTCCCCCGTAGGAAAGACAGATATACTGTATGATTTCATCCCTGACGGCAGACTCAATAAACTATAATGAGTATCAAGCCATAGACAAATTACACATAACCACAAACAGTTAACCATTTCACTGTGCAGTACTCTAGCCTGAAGCCTGTTTTACAGTGTTTTCACCCCTCATTTAACTTTCATGTGTTTTATTCTGTATTTTTCAAATCGCCAAAAATAACTGATACAGTAAAAAAATAGAATATCACTAGACTTACAACAGATACAGTAGTAGCAAAGGTTCTTACTTGTATCTGAAGAAGAACAACTGGATCAGCCAAATGGCCAGCAGCACCATGCCGTTGATCTCTGTCACTGTAAATGCCCACTTGACCCTGTCGATATAGTCAAAAAACTTATCTGGAAGAGGTGGACTGCTTTCTTTGGGTGGGACTCTCTCGTGGACTACAGTGATGACGACTGTGGTCAGGACCAGGTTAAAACCAGCATAAAAGAAGGCTATTGCTGTCTTCCACCATTCCATGGGCAAACGATTGACCTTGGACTCTGGCACAGAAATCTTCACATAGTCATTATGCCTCCCTATGCCCTTCCGAAAGCCCCGCTTTGTATCCTCGCTGCCAGGTGTGTGGATGGGACAGCTTTTACCACTGCTGGGCACAGCAGCGCCCTCCATTCCTGGACTCAGAGTATCAGCGGTTTCAGAGTTGCTTGCATCCATAAGCTCCTGTGAGGCCATGGATGCCTGCTCTGTCCATCCACGGGGCCCGCTCCTGTGGCTCCTTTAGGGTCGAAACTTTTAAGCTGCAATGACAGAAAGCAAAAGGTCGGAAGCTGGCAGATTCTAAGGTTTGGAATTTGTGCAGGATAGAAAAGCAAATAAGTAAATAAGCACTGCATGGTTGCATTAAAGATGTCAAACAGTGAGGAGATGCACCCTCATTTACCATTATTTTCACTCTTCAGCTCACTGAAAATATCTACTTTAGACTGAAAAGCTGTTTCTGAGTTTATACGTAAGAACCATCTGTTTTAAATGTGGTTCTGTGAGTTATGCTGTTACATTTTCCTTTCCATTATCATTGACCAGAACCACTCAGACAGGGCTTCTGTTTGGACATTCAGTAAAACTCTTATTTTGGGTCTTCTGAAGTCTTTCCATCATACTGTTTTGGTTTTGTCCTCAGGAAGAAGTTGCAATAGTAGGTCCAGTGGTTTCATGGTCAGGAAATCTGTTGCAACAGACCAATTTAGGGGCGCATCATAAAGCTTTCAAACAAAAGTAGAGTAAGTTAAGCTGAGACTGAAAGTTCACTCTTGACCTGACAAAAGAATCTCACTGCCACCACAGTCCATCCAGTAACTGTTCTGGATCTTACAATGTCATTTTTCTGCTTCTTGTTAACAGTGGCTTAAAAGCCGATGACAACCATGGAAACTCCATGTGCTGAAGAAGATCCTGTGATACAACTGAAAGCTCTAGAACAGGACTTTTTGCTGAGACTGTTTTGTAAACAAAACAAAACTACAAAAAAAATAATATTAATAATGGATAAACTGTTAGAAGCCAGAGGTGAATGAGATAAACAGAAATAAAGATAGAGTACTTAAAAACAGAGACCTGTACGAGTCTGTATAATCTGTATAATGTATATAAACACAGGTGTTGCCCTGAGGGTTATTGTCTAATCATATGGTCATTGGTTAAGTGTTCATCAGAGTGACAGCCTGGGGGAAGAAACTGTCCCTGTGCCTGGTTGTCTTGGTGCACAGTGACCTGTAACGCCATCCAGAGGGGAGGAGTTCAAACAGATTGTATCTGGGGTGTGAGGGGTCTGCAGTGATCCTCTCCGCCCTCCTTTTGACCCATGCGGTGTACAGGTCCTCCATGGAGGGCCGGCTCACACCAATGACCTTTTCTGCAGTCCTGGCTGTCCACTGAAGTCTGTACTTGTCCTGTTTAGTTGCTGACCAGACAGTGATGGAGGTGCAGAGAACAGGCTCGATGATTCCTCTGTAGAACTGTATCAGCAGCTCCTGGGGCAGGTCGAACTTCCTGAGCTGGCGCAGGAAGTACATCCTCTGCTGTGCCTTCTTGATGATGGTCCTGATGTTGGACATCCACTTCAGGTCCTGGGAGATAGTGGAGCCCAGGAACTTGTAGGACTTTACTGCTGATACAGTGCTGCCAAGTATGGTGAGGGGGAGTAAGGTGGGGGGGTTCTTCCTGAAGTCCACTGTTATCTCCACTGTTTTGAGTGTGTTCAGCTCCAGGTTGTTGCAGCTACACCACAGGACAAGCTGCTCAACCTCCTGTCTGTAGGCTGACTCGTCACCGTCTCAAATGAGACCAATGACCGTTGTGTCATCAGCAAACTTTAGGAGCTTGACAGGGGAGTCCTTTGAGATGCAGTCGTTGGTGTAGAGTGAAAACAGCAGAGGGGAGAGCACACATCCCTGGGGGGCACCTGTGCTTATTGGGCTTTGGGTTGTTGGGCTTTTTTCAGTTAATGATCTGAGAGAGCACTACAGCTGTGGTCTTTTTTTATTCTTTCACATCTAAAAGGCTTCTAGTCCCTTTAACAGCCCCATTAATGGATTTGAGGATATTGCTAATGGCTCTGAAATGCATCTCAACAAATGTCATCTAGAATACATACAGAAGGGTACTTGAAGAAGAACTTGACACTCAAACTGAAAAAGGATAATAATAGATTATTATTGGATACTAGCTGCTGAAAGAACCAGTTCCCTAGAATCAATTTTTGGCAACACACAGTGGAGGAAGGCTGTTAGAGCAGAATGCCCTCTGACTAACCCATACCAGATTCAACCTCTGTTATGCAACTGATGGATGGCTACAGAGCACAAAGTGTGACAGGCTTTAAGGGTTCATAAAATCTATTAATACTGACCAAGATGGCAAATAAATCAGCAAGAGCAGACAAACAGTATAAGCTGATTATCATGCCATGCCCCTTATCTTATTAGTGAGATTATGTTGCATCTCTGTGGTTACTTATACTGCAAGATGTGATCGTATATTTTGATTAAGTTTACTGTGAGGAGAAGTCAGTCTGATGCTGCTGTAGCACAGCGTTTTACATTATAAGTGTAAAAGCTTGTGAATGTTTCCTTTTGGTTTTTAAAATAAAAGATAACAGACATTTTTACCGTCTGTACTTAGATGAACAGAGTGAGACAGACTGTGGTGTGTACTGCTGAAACACTGAGGCAGTGCCAATGGTAATTTCATTATGATACTGGGACATTTTTAGATTCACATCCCCTTAGCCCTACAGTGCATTTATGAGCAAAAGTGGATTCAAATGTGTCAAACTGGCATAAGCAATGATCAAATAGGAGATTTTTTTCCCTGATCAGACACACAGAGGCGGAAAGTAACTAAGTAAATTTACTAAAGTACAATTTTGATGTATTTGTACTTTACTTGAGTATTTTAATTTTCTGCTACTTCATACTTCAACCTCACTACATTTTACAAGCAAATATTGTACTTTTTACTCCTGTCTGTAGGCAGATGTTCTATGGTTCTTCTACTTTTTACTCCACTGCATTTATTTTGATATCTTTAGTTACTAATTACATTTCTGTATCTGATTAACAGAACAACATACGGTATAACCAATAAAACTTTATTGATCCCAGGTGGGAAATTCACTAGCTACCCATCAGCACTTCAAACTGTAAGCATATAAAGTAGTTAATATTAGCTCCACCTTTACCAGTTGCAGTGTTAAATGTGAGGTGCAAAATAATGAACCAGATAATATAATGTACATCAATGTGAAATGTGCCATTTGGCTTTATTGAATACTTTTGCTTTTGGTACTTAAAGTAGATTTTGATGCTAATACTTTTGTACTTTTACCTAAGTTCATTTTGAATGCAGGACTTTTACTTGGTCACAGAAACCCAAATTGAGTATTGGTAGGATATGGGATGTAAAGTCGTCTCTGATGTTGTATGGAGCCATATGGAGTCATATATAAAGAACATGTAAACATGTGATCTACGGATTTGAACAAATCACTAAAGCCATAGTTTCTCTGTTGGGGACAGTCTCACTGAGTGCTGCTGCTCTGATTTTTAGTTTATGGAAATGTAGTTATTGTAAATATTGACTCAAAAGTGTCACAGTACTAGTTCTGTGTTGGAAAAACTACAAACACAGTCCTGAAGTTCTATGGTTCTTTTGTCTGTGCATACTGACAGAGCAGTGTGACATTTGGTACAAAGAAGATGGGAGACTTTCCACTGTGTGTACTTTTACATGGAATGTCAGCAGTGTCTCTATTAGACACGTTTTCCACTGGTCCCCTCCTCCCTAGTGTACAGTACGTACACTGGTGTATTTTCCCACCATGCAGAGCACCCGGTACTCTAAAGGGGATAGGTGGTGGAAAACTGGCATAAAAACCTATTCCATAATGGATAATCTATTTCAAGAGAAGCCACCCAGTTGCTTTGAAGGCTGTATTTGACCAGAGCTTGGACTCCATTTTCAGGCCTTCATAATAACATGGTACTATTGCTGGCCACTCATTTTCTTCTTCACATCATGAGGACTGTCTTCAACAGAGGGAGGGTTAAAAATAAGTCTCACCAGATGAGACCCTGCCCTTTATGAACTGTGACACTACAAGAAGGAGTTGACTCTATATACTATAAAATGTGCTCTCTATAAATCCATCCTTTAACCTGCATGTTTAGCACTACATCATGTTTAGATTTGAGTGTTTTGTTTCATCCCAGCAACAGATTCAGTAACAGTTCCAGATATTAAATGAATAGTTCAAACGTCTCACTGAAGAGAATGGGACTGAACAAGCATAATACTTTTGTATACAGTAAAACTTTGGTGCTATGTAAGTACTATTTGAGTTTATAATAAAAAAATGCCTCATCAACAGTCTATTCATTTGTGCCCTGAGTAATACAATATAAAAAATACTCCATGAAAAGTAGAGCGTTTTTGTTGGTTTACTTAAAGTAACACAAGTAAAAGTAGCATTGATGCATGAAAATAGCTTGAGTGTAATTAAGTTTACACACGAGTTATTAACTACTCTGTAGTGTAAACATGTTTAATCTTAAACTCTGCATATAATAATAGCTCATCGTATCTACTCATACTCCTAATATTCAAAGTATTTATAGATATCAACTAGATTCAGTGAAGTAAAATGTACAGCTGCCTCTGAAATGTAGTGGAGTAGTAGTAAAAAGTAACACGAAATAGAAATAAGTAAAGTACTAAAGCAGCCCTATACTCAAGTATAAGTATAGGGCTACTTGTGGTAACAGCAGATGCTGACATTTAAGTAATATTAATAAGGTTTGCCTTTAGTAATTACCTTGCATATTCATTTACTAGCATGTCATGACAATGATGCTAAAGACAGAGAGCAAAAGTTTAAAACCTCTGATTCACAGTGATGTTCGCATAGTCTACTGGCTCCCGTGACCACTGTGTAATACTACAGTAGTTCACTGTCCTAGCGTTATTTCTCAAAAGACACCAAATTTTGTAGTATACAAGCCAACACAGCCACACTGTGCATGGAGCCATCCACTTTTTGTGGGTGCCAGAACCACATGTGGGGTGAATACTAGCAGTAATGTTAGCTTCAGGACTGGGTGTCTCCCATGCTTCCAATAGATTATAGGGTGGCAGGCTGTCACATGTGATTTGTGTGCCATGGCTGGTTTTGAAGTTTACTTTTGGGGTGTAACACAGTGGCCACACACATTGTTAAACACCATGTGCTATATAAGGCTGCTGGGTGGGGCAAAAGGTTATTATATGCCTTGTAATTGGGGTCTCTCCTTTTTCATTAAAAGCTACTGCAACTGGGAACTGACATCTAAATTGTTCAAATTGAATTAAAGCAAGGCTGCAATTCCAGCTATGGCACAAGCATGCACAGTCCGTATATATCATTCAGAAATATTGTTTGTGATTTCTATTTAAATGTGTTAGAGCTTCATCGTCTTTCATCTCTGAATGTCACCTGATGCTATGCTGATCGGATGCTGTGACTCACATCATCATAACACGAACACGTAGTCTCCCGGCTCGTGCCTAATCCAACCTAATCAAACTTTTTGGATGAATATATATGAATAAAAAGACATATACCACAAACAGAAATCCATATACAGGCTATGCATGTCGAATAGAATTCGTATCTAAGGTGCATTTCTATATCTGTAAGCCAGACTGATAAAAAGTTGAATGTTATCAGGAATATAAACCTAACCAGGCAGCGCATCCTATTAAAGTTCACGCCACAGTTAATCTGCCATAGGATGTTAATAACAGCTAGGCTAACCCAGCACACAGGATGAAAATCTGCATTTAATTTCACGTTGTACAGCTCATAGCATCCTACCTGCCTTGCTCGGGCCTCCTACTGCCTCTTCCTGTAGCTGCGGTTCCTTGAATCCCTGATGCTGCGCCCTGTCGGATCGCTGCTTCGCTCAGGCTGGACTGTTACTGCTACGACACTGAGTCTCGCTATGGAGAGACTGGCGCTCCTCCCAAGCTCCACATATTCTCATTCAGCCTCACATCCCCTTTAATTCAGACTCGGTCCTGTAATCAGCGCAAGAATGGCCCTGTTCATGTAAAAGAGGTGCTCTGCAAGACTGCAGTCATCTTAACAGTTAGTGGAGTAGAACAATGTCGTATTATTTGTGCGTAATTGTGCATTTTTAGGGAGACATAAAATCTTCTGTTTACTACCACGAACATCTAAATTGTTCAAATGGAATTAAAGCAAGGCTGCAATTCCAGCTATGGCACAAGCATGCAGAGTCCGTATATATCATTCAGAAATATTGTTTCTGATTTCTATATCACAAACACGCGGTGGTTAGCGCTGTTCCCTCACAACAAGCAGGTTCTGGGTTCGAGCCCCGGCCAATCTGGGGCCTTTCTGTGTGGAGTTTGCATGTTCTCCCCGTGCTTGCGTGGGTTCTCTCCGGGTGCTCCGGCTTCCTCCCACAGTCCAAAAACCTGCAGCATAGGTTGATTGGTGTCTCTAAATTGCCCGTAGGAGTGCTTGTGTGTGTCGTCTGTGTGTTGGCCCTGCGATGGGCTGGCGACCTGTCCAGGGTGTACCCCGCCTTTCGCCCGCAGCTGGCTGGGATTGGCTCCGTGACCCCGTTTGGGACTAAGCGGTTTGGAAAATGGATGGATGTTGTAACTGTTGTAAGTAACTTCTCATAGCCTATTTATAGCCATATGATCAATTAAATTATACTTGTTTCATTTTCAGTACATGAACATTTAAGTCATGTAAACAATAATTAAATCTCGTTATATCTTTAGGAGAACTTGATTTTCCCTGCAAGTAAGAAACTCTCTGTTTTACAGCTACTGGTTACAGATAAGTTGAGTCATTGAGCCAGTTATTCTCTCGAGATACATAATAGCTGTGTCCCAATTCAGGGGCTGCGTCCTTCGAAGGACGCAGTCTAGGAAGGCGTGGCCATTGTACACTTGAAGTCCGAACCATGGGCCGACCTGAAATGAGAGTTGGAGCCTTCGTTGCCCGGTGAAGGAAGGACACATTTCTCGGCCGCATTTGAAGGAGCCTTCCAAATTGTACGGTCTTGTGCTATGACGCAATCGGTCTTCCAATGCAGCCTTCGAAGGACGCGTCCGTTGAAATGGGACACAGCTAACGATGCAAAACTGACATCAGATCAGTATTTCTTCCGCACCGACGTCAGACTGAGGAAATGCGTCACTCCATCACCGGTGACGACGTGGCTGCTAGTAAAACTCTCCTCGGTTCGTGTGCCAGGCTCGTCATACGTACCTGTTAATAAAACCAAAAGACACCAGCAGTAATAATAAACAAGGAGCAGAGGGGCTTGTTGCTAGGTGTGTTTGAAAAGAGATAACCGATTGAACTAGCCGCCGACTGCTGCCAGCCATGGAGACATATGGCAACTCACACAAGAAACAGAAGCTGAGCAACACTGCTGCAAACTGGGTGAGTTTTATTTTACCGAGTTGTGTTAATTCAGCATTTTGATTCATCAAGTCTCTCCCGGCCTGTCCGTCTCCACTAGTCAGCAGCCAGTGAGCTAACTAGCCGCACAGATTAGCTAATAAGCAGATTTAACATTATAGCTAACGTTACTGCTATGCAGTAAAGCTAGCCCTGCGATGTAAAGCCTTGGTTGCCGTGCTCACGACCACTGCCCACCTCCGCGACCGAAAAGTGGCTAATATGTTCATCACTAACGCACTTAACTTATTCTAATGCAATGACATCAGTTTGAATAACTGCAGGGCTCCAGACCAACATTTAATACAGGAAGCATCGGTGCCACTAAGTTTCTTCACTTCTGTTTTGCAACGTAATGCAGAAGAATCAATATTTTTTGTAAACTATTTAAAATAACCTTACCATCCAATGTGCATAACCTATATTTATCATTAAATTCTGTGAGAGGAAGACTTTTAGAACACAGTAAGTGGGAAAATCACTTCTGGAACAAGTTTCCACCTCTTTTTATGTAGTCTCTGTTTAGTGCTCTGTAGCCTCCAGGCAACATGATGATGTTGATGATTAAATTGTGCACATGATTTGCCGTTTGGGTAAGCGATTTATTTTATAGTTAGTTTTTCTTCTGAAGAAGAATTTCTGCTCTTTGGTGTTGGACTTCATGCACAGTTCATCTCTCTCGCTCACCTGGCTAGAGAAGTAACAAGCTTCCAACACATAAATAGGATAAGGCTATCTACCTGATTTAAGCAGCTGTCTGTGCAGATTACATTTCAAATGCGCCAAAGCAAAAAACTGACTCAAAGTATAAGAAGGGGTCCACAGATGACACGTGTGTTTCAGTGTGGATTGACACATTTGATATATTGGAAGTCTCTGCTTCTTGAGACAGCTGAATGACAGACCTGCAGATAAACATTAAGATGACAGTATCGTAGAAATTGTTACGTCTGTCCAGCATTTCTACAGTGAGACAAGCCGTTCCTGCATAACCTTTTTTGTAGGTGCACCCAGTCGCACCCTTCTTTGAAAACAGTTGGTCACAAGATACGAATGATGATCACTCACAGTCTGGAGCCCTGAAAATCCTTGCAGCCCACTTGATGGTTTCAGGATCAGTGGCGACAAAACCTTTATTTGTATTTGCCAGGCAGAGGTTTTGTTTGATTAGTACTTAAATGCACGGTAATTCTGTGCTACAGTATTAGTACATTGTGGCCTTCCGAGATCCCACAAACACTACAAACAATATCAGGCATACAGAGCCAATATACATAGTATCATTTCAGGGTATGCAGCGTGCAACTAATGTTACCTATCAAGCTCATCACGTCAGCCGAAACAAGCGTGGGCAGGTTGTGGGCACAAGAGGAGGATTCAGAGGATGCACCGTTTGGCTGACTGGTAGGTTGTGTGATGTTACAAAAATACATTTCAGGGTGCCTCTAAGTAATTTTTTCATAACCCTTTTGTTTTCCCCCCTGTGTAAAGGTTTGTCCGGTGCAGGGAAGACAACGGTGAGCATGGCCCTGGAGGAGTACCTGGTATGCCACGGTATCCCCTGCTACACTCTGGATGGGGACAACATCCGTCAGGGGCTGAACAAGAACCTGGGTTTTAGTCCAGAAGACCGAGAAGAGAACATCAGACGCATTGCTGAGGTGGCTCGTCTTTTTGCTGATGCTGGGCTGGTTTGCATCGCCAGCTTCATCTCTCCCTACAGCAGAGTGAGTGACTCACTAAAGAAAGCATCAGATGATGATGGGGTTAAATATAGCTGAGCTTCACTGATACTGTAGAAAATTTGGCTCTTGTTTTGTTACACAATTTTTACCAAACCTATATTTTGGTACTTTTAAATTCCTTAAGGAACAGTTTTCTATCACCATCCTTCATTATTATTTTTCTGAAAATGGTGAGATGATTATGCTAGTCTTTAATGCAAGAATACAAAGTTATGATGTAACTTGATAAAGTAGACCTTTGGAGGTGCGTCAACTGAGGGGCAAAACTCAAATCCTGGGGTAAAATGCATGGTTAATATACACATATGTAAATTCTGTTCTTGATTATTCAAATACTTGATTCTGTCTATTTTTGAGTACTTGGAATTTATCAGGATGTGTGTGCGGTGCTTGTTCTCATGGCGTTATGCTGTCTGTTCTCTATTGCTGCTTGAGGTGCTGAAATTTGTTTATCTAGATATGTGTGTGGTGTTTGCTTCTCATGGTGTTATGTTGTTTGTTCTCCATTGCTGCTGAAACACTGAAACTTCCCCATTGAGGGATCAATAAAGTACCTACCTACCTACGATTTAAAAACTGCTCAAAAATTTAAGGGAACGCTTAAACATCACAGTATAACACCACGTGAGTTAAACTTCAGGGATATCAGTCGGTCCATTTAGGAAGCACAAGTGACTGTGAATCAGTTTTACTTGCTTTGGTGCAAATGAAAGTGACAACCAGTGCAATGGAGAGGCAAAAGCAAGGCAATCCCCAAAAAAGGGGTGGTTTCACATGTGGTGGCCACAGACAAATGCTCTCTCCTTGTCCTTCCTGACTAATTCTTCTCAGGTTTTGTGCTTTGCTAGTGTCTTTGTCAGTACTGGTAACATGAGGCGGTACCTGCAGCACAGTCAGGTTGCACAGGTAGTCCATTTACTCCAAGATGGCAGTCATAGTGCAGTTGCAAGAAGGTTTGCTGTGTCTCCTGGTACAGTCTCTAGAGCATGGAGGAGATGCCAGGAGATGAGCAGTTACACCAGGAGAGCCGGACAGGGCTGTAGAAGGGCACCAACCCAGTAACAGGACTGGTATCTGCTCCAGGAACGGGAGGAGCACTGCAAGAGCCCCGCAGAATGACCTCCAGCAGCTACTGGTGCACATGTTTCTGACCAAACTGTCAGAAACAGACTCCAGTGGGGCCCCTTGTCCTCTAGTACTGTGCTCACGGCCCAACACCGTGCATCTCGACTGGCATTCACCAGAGAACGCCAGAATTCACAGGTCCACCATTGGCTCCCTGTTCTCTTTACAAACGAGAGCAGGTTCACACTGAACACATGTGACAGGTTTGAAAGAGTCTGGAGATGCTGTGGTGAACGTTATGCACCTGGAACATCAGAACATGACCGGTTTGGTGGTGGGTCAGTGAGGGTCTGGGAAGGCATATCCTGTGAGGGCTGCACAGACCTCCATGTCATAGCCAGTGGTACCCTGACTGCAGTAAGACCTAATTACTGCACACGGCTGTGAATGGTGATGTCTTCCAGCAGAAAACAAATGATGATCTTTAAAAGCACACTATCTGTCACTAAATCTCATCTGTACCTTGCTGTATATGTTGTTTTTGTCAGGATCGACTCAATGCCAGGAAGATCCATGAGGCTGCAGGGCTGCCTTTCTTTGAGGTGTTTGTGGATGCCCCGCTGGATGTCTGTGAGCTGAGGGACGTGAAGGGACTGTACAAGAGAGCCAGAGCAGGGGAAATAAGAGGTGTAGTATCTGCAGACTGTGCAGTGCATTAGTATTTCCAAGGCTTAGATTCTCTGGCTCATATACATTTACATAGTATTTTGACCCTCAAGAGGTTGCGTCAAAATGTACCTTAAAATTATACTTTGTTGTGAAATGCACTGAAAACAGTGAGTACAAATAAGTGGTTTATAATGTTTATAATTAGCTTGTAATCAGTTTTTTTTATCCGATACATAATCTTGCCCCATTTATGAGCCTGGTATGGTTACGTTTAGGTCAGCATAGACCAATAAAAAACAAGCAGGCCTAGGGTGCTATAAATTAAATTCTCCTCTGCTTTTATCGAATTTTCTTTAAGGTAACAGTGCACAACTTCTTCTTTCCTGAGTTTGTGTCATTTCTGTAGGGCAGATTGGCCTTTGTTCAAATTTCTAAACCTACTCGTATAGTAGTCTTTGATTTTAGAGTATGGATCAAGTAGTTATTAATCATGGTTGTGTGGTTATTGATTAAAGGGTATTTCAAGGGAAACAAATATCTGGCTTACATGTGTTGTTGGAGCACTGATATTCCATACACTGTAGTTTTTTGTTTGTTTGTTTGTTTGTTTTAGTACAGAGCTCAAACTTTGCATTGTACTCTCTGTATATCTTTTATCAGGTTTCACTGGAATTGACTCGGAGTACGAGAAGCCGGAGGTCCCAGAGCTGGTGCTGAAAACCGACTCCTGCAGCGTGAATGAGTGTATACAACAGCTTATTGACCTGCTTCAGGAGAGGGTGAGAAGACTAACTGCCCTCCTTAGTTTACTTTAGCTTAGCCCTCTTCATCCTCAATGGGACTTAGGGCATAATTGAACCCATTGGGAACCTTCTTGTACAGCGTGATGTGTCTTGCCCCATGTCAAGCCCAAGTCTTTCAACTCAGCTGTCCCTGTTCCTGAGCTGGAAAAGAATAGCTATTGTACAGCTGGACGTTTGTTCTAAGGGTGTACTGCTTCGACTTCCAGTTTGGCTAAAGTCTAGTAAAAGCACTGTGAGCTTTCCCTTCTCTTGTTTTGATGCTGTTTTGTGCTGTGTTGTCCTTACAAGATTACTCAGGTAGGTGAATTCCTCAACGAAGTCGAGTGGTTCACCGTTCACTGCAATTGGTCCAGCTAGAATTTTGTTGATGGACAAAACTTGAGCCTTGGAGATGCTGATGTTCAATTCAGTTTTATTTGTGTAGCGCCAAATCACAACAAAAATCATCTCAAGGCACTTTACATAAAGGAAAACCCAACAAGTGGCAACAGTGGGGAGGAAAAACCCCCTTTAAAGGAAGAAAGCTGTGATAGAACCAGGCTGTTTGATGGTGACCATCTGCCTTGACTGGTTGGGATGAGTGGATAGCAGAGAGAGAAAGGCTGTCTGCTTAGCTAAGCTAATCAGTCTCCTTAGATGTGTTTAAAATATGTTTATCATGCTTAGAGTCAACTGTTGAGATTCAGACTTGAGATGCAGTGTTGCCTTTTGGCCACTAGGGGTCAGTGAAGTCTCATAATTGTATGGCTGTTGATGTCACTGTGTCTACCCTGTATCAGGTATGTCAATATTTCTTTAGTAAATAGGAAAGCTCTACCAAAGTCTTGAATGTTTGGGATGTTTTCTCATGATTTTTGTAGAATAATTAATTTCACACTCTTTTGGTTCCACAGGATATAGTTCCCATTGATGCATCTTATGAAGTAAAGGAGCTGTATGTTCAGGAAAACAAACTGGACCTGGCGAGGGCTGATGCAGAGACTCTGCCTGCTGTACAGATTGCCAAGGTACTTTTGAATTTTAAAAAGACTTTAATACATTTTATATTAAGTTAAACTATAAACAGATCAACTACGGTCTGTTACACCACTATTTATGTGCATATTATTAGCACTGTTAGTCATTTTTCTGTCCAGTTTTTCTATCTATCCTTCATATGTAACCTTTGTAACTGTATGTCTGACCCTCAGGTGGATATGCAGTGGGTGCAGGTGCTTGCTGAAGGCTGGGCCACTCCTCTGAATGGTTTTATGAGGGAGAGAGAGTACTTGCAGTGTCTTCATTTTGACTGTCTGCTGGATGGTAAGAAAATCCTAACATGTCATGTTAAAATTTGAGTTTTGCTATATTTTACAAAAGGGCACTAGGTGGTGATGAGTGCTCACAATGTGGATTAACCAGAGGTAGCAGATGGTTTTGTTTTGGGACCTAAGTACACATTTTCTCCAACAGTACTTAAATGTAATGTTGTTTTTGTAAATCACTTTATGGCACCGCCATCATGCCTTTCAAATATAGCAGGAATTAATTAAATATATGCCCTGTTGTGAGCCTATATAAACACAGAGAACTAAGATGGACTCTTAGCCAACCTATTGAATCCTCAAATGTATTTCAGCTGTAACTCTTTGCTTCCCTCTAAACGTTCCACTTTATTCAAGTAAAACTTGAACACTCTTGATTAAACAGAGCATTAAATTAGATCAACAGATATTCCCTGTGCATCTCAGTGCAAGCTGCAGTACATACTGTGCACTGCTGAATGTGCTGAGAGACTTAAATAAGATTAGGGTAAGGGTTAGGCACATAGTGGTTATGGTTAAGGTTACAGTAAGTCTCCAAGAAATGAATGTAAAGTCCCCACACAGGATGAAAACAAACATGTTTGTTTTACTGAAACCAGCTTTAAGCTCTACACTGTGAGAGAGGGGACCGGGAGAGGGTCCAGGGGAGAGGTGGGTGTGCAGCAACAGTCAGTGTCCTCTCTTGTCTGCCTGGTCCTGCCTATCCTAGATCTGATGTCTTGTCAACAGTATGCTATTCCCTGTTAACCTGGGTGGCAAAATGAACCCAGAGAACTGATCCAAGCCTGTGTGGACTGCTGACTACTGATCAGTGCACCAGCCTTGAAAATGGTGGCAGGACTGTTGCATTGCCTGCATACAGTATGCACTATACAAACTAAATGGAGGCCCACTTGCAAAAACATTGTTCTGTAGCACATAGTAGTCAAAAGCTCTACAGGTTACCTTTTAATGCAGCTTGAACTCAGGGATTGTGCTTTGTCAACATATAGAGGCCAACAGACAGCATCACATGTCCATGGGTTTTAGAGCAGAAACAACTAAAGTTCTTTTTGACAAAAAGAATCTATCAAAGTTGATTATCAGTTAACAGTTTAAGTATTTTTTCAAGCAGAACATTCTCTGATTTTAGCTTCTTAAATGAAAGGATTTGTTGCTTTTCTTTGTCATATTTGATAGTACACAGAACATCTGAGTTTTAGACTGCTGGATAAAACCTCTGGGAAGCTGTCATGATCATATTTCACTATTTTGTTATATTTGGTGATTAAAAGAGGAAATTATTTGCAGATTAAATGATAATTTAAATAAGTTTCTGGTTAAATGCATGTTTTCTCATCATAAAAATGGCTCTGTTGCTCCCTGTCCTAGGAGGTGTCATCAACCTGTCAGTGCCCGTGGTGCTGCCGGTTTCCACTGCAGATAAAGAGCGTTTAGATGGTGTGACAGCCATGGCTCTGGTCTATGAAGGCAGACGAGTTGCCATCCTTCGCAACCCTGAGTTTTATGAGCATCGCAAAGAAGAGCGCTGTGCACGTCAGTGGGGCACCACCTGCAAAGACCACCCCTACATCAAGGTAAAATTTTGAGATGACGCATTCAGAGTTAGGGTTTTTATTCTCTGAAAATAGGATTTACGGTATAGGTTAACGTGTTGGAAGTGATATAGAAGATTCAATAGCTTATCCTGCAGCATCTGCAGACCGTCTGCCTCAGTGTGCTGTGTGTTAAAAGCAACACAAAGCAAACTGCCTCCCCGGATTCAGCGTTGACAGAACACAGATCCATCCGAGCTGGCCTTTTCACATTGCTTATGGAAAGACTGAATAGGTGGTGGAGTTGAGCTTTTCTCACAGTCTGTCAGCACGCCCAGTGTAATCACTTGATCTTTTTGATCCACCCTCCTTGTGCAGGTGTTATATTTGGAGGCTGACTCTCTCACTCAGCCTCCACCATATGTGTTTGAGATCATTGTAGGACTCAGCTGAACATGTTGTGAAATCCCTACCAGCTCCCACCTTTCACCCTTCTTCAGATAAGCCTGGGAACATGTTTCCAGTCTCCATTTGTTCATTTTCTACTGCTTAGTCCCTGAACGGGGTCACGGGGGGGGGGGCCGGAGCCAATCCCGGCCGGCAATCGGGCGAAGGCGGGGTACACCCTGGACAGGTCGCCAATCCATCGCAGGGCTAACACATAGACGAACAACCACACACACACACTCCTATGGGCAATTTAGAGACACCAATCAACCTAAGCTGCATGTCTTTGGACTGTGGGAGGAAGCCGGAGTACCCGGAGAGAACCCACGCAAGCACGGGGAGAACATGCAAACTCCACACAGAAAGGTCCCGGGTGGGGCCCGAACCCAGACCCTTCTCACTGTGAGGCAACGGCGCTAACCACTGTGTCTCCATTTGTGTTGCCTTCATTTCAGTGGCAAGATAACATCCTGAAACCACACCCTGCAAAAAAGTTATGTTGACTTGCTTTAACCAAACATCCTGCTACTGCTGAGAAAGATCATCGTCAGATTTACTTTTTATAACTCATTGGCTAAATTTAGAGCCCATTGCTAAAAATGCTGGAGGATGATTAACTTTAATGCCAACAGCAGTCTGAATATTTCACACCATTTGACTATAATTTTTATTTTTTCCCCACCCTTTTTTATCATCAAATCTGGCTTGATAATGTCTTTTAAGGTGCAAGATGCTGCAGTTTCTTAAAACTGGTACCGTGACTGCCCAGTATCAACACCTGATGCCTAAGCACCGGCTTTAAACAAACACCAAATACGCTGCATTTCCACGACTGTCACTTTATCCACTCAACCTGTTACAGCTGAATGTTTGTTCACCTTGCTGCGATTATGGTGTCACTCATTAAAGAGAGTGTCTGTATGCTTAAGTGTATGTTTAACTCCCTGCGCCAGAGCCAGTCTGTCAACACACTTCTGAGTTGGTAGCGACAACATTTTTTTAAGATCCCGTGCCATTCCATCCAGAAACGACCTGTTCCATATTACATGTAGTTAATCCACTTTTTTCTTGTTTACTTATCTGTCATTCATACTTGAGCCCCCTTCATCTGAAACTATGGTGCACTGGCTGTTTATTTGGCTAGGGACCTTTCACATGTGAAGTCTTTGAGGCATTTATAATGGTTAAACAGAGCACATGTGTACACGTAGGCCTGCTCCTTTGATTTATCCACACTGACATTTTCCATTCACTTATTTTAGGAAACATTGCAACTTGTCTTTCCAAAGAATAAGACTGACACGTATCCTTCATGGCAGCAGACAGGTTGGATTAATTGGAGGGTGGAAAACAAATCACAACACATTCCTGAAAGCTTCTCACAACCAGGCCAAGTGGTTACTGATTACAACTTGTAGATTTTTATGTATAATCAATCTGTTTTAAAGAATGGAAGTCAGTTTTTTTTAATAATAAATTACATCAGTGAAAATAAATGACATGATAGATTTTTTTTTTTTCTTTTTCTTAAGTCAACTTGAAATCGTTTATCCCGTCACTGCCTGCCTCATTTGTGGCCTTTGTTTTGAGTCAGCCGCTCGTCTCAGTGTTGGAGTTTTGCTTCCATCATTGCCTAGCCTGCAGCAAATTGTCACTTTGTATCACATTAACATTTCACAGGCCAGTGTTTTCAGTAACTTTAGCTGTGGTTTCATTAATATCACAGAAGGCAGGCAAAAAATATTTCCTGAAACAGTAGCACTCTGACATTAGCACTCTCGCTGTTGTGGTCATGAGCTCATCACCAGGTTTTATTGTTGAATACAATCTTTTTTGTGCATCCTCTTGTTATTAAAAGTGAGGTTGTAAATGTGGCCAAATACAGAAGAACGCAGTGCAAAGTTGTGTTGACAGAGAGAGAGAGACTGATTTATGCTGCTGTGTGTGCGTGTCGGGGGGGTATTATAATTCATGCTGGCCTGGTTCCTGCATAGTGACATTTTTATGGACCACACTTAAGTCTGGATTATGTTTGTGTTGTGTTCACTGTCACAATCACTGTGACTTCTGTTTCAGATGGTGATGGAAAGTGGGGACTGGCTGGTTGGTGGTGACCTACAGGTTCTGGATAGGATCTACTGGAACGATGGACTCGATCAGTACCGACTGACACCCACTGAGCTCAAACAGAAGTTTAAAGAAATGAATGCAGGTGTGGGGCCAGGCTCTGTTAGTTTTTGTTTATTTTCTATCAGAATTAAATTAAAACGGCTCATGAGTCAAGGACTTTCAGACAGAGGGTAATGTCACTATATTTATAAACGACTGCCAATTTTTCTCCATGTAGACTTTGGGGAAAGGGAAGGAGGAGTCGGGGTAGAAGGGTCACATGAGAGAAAGCTTTGTGAGCTACCCCTTCACCAGTTATGACACATGCTGTACTGGCCAAGCACTTAAATGCTTGATTGTCTCTGGGTCTTGTACAGATGTATTTTGTCTCATCATAACAAACCCTTTGCCTCCTTTATCTCTATTCAGATGCTGTATTCGCCTTCCAGCTCCGCAACCCGGTCCACAACGGCCATGCCCTTCTGATGCAGGACACCCATAAGCGTCTCATTGAGCGAGGCTACCGCCGGCCTGTTCTGCTGCTCCACCCGTTGGGAGGTTGGACCAAGGACGATGATGTGCCGCTGCCTTGGCGAATGAAACAGCATGCGGCTGTGCTGGAGGAGGGTATCCTGAATCCCGATTCTACCATTGTTGCCATTTTCCCCTCACCAATGATGTACGCGGGGCCAACTGAGGTAAAGATGGTCAAGGGTGTTGTATTTGTTTTAGGGTGCTGCAAAACTGACAGGGAACAAAAATGAGATTGTGGCACTGAGTAATGACAATAAGCGCAGAGACAAGGACTGTCACATATGCAATGGCAGGAAAAGGGATTTATAGTCGTCTTGGGGCACTGCGTAGCTGTGCTGCTTTCCATGCCATGCACAAACCTCTGCGACTGAGCATAGCTGGAAACCTTTTAATCATTCACTTACGACAAGTTCTGGAACAAATTATTGAGAGCAAATTGGAGGCTGGTGGATGTTAGGCAGCGAGTTTGCTCGGTTTGTATTTCTGAATGGGAGGTTTAGAGACAGACTCAGCTCCACTGTTACTATCATTGTTCTGGCCTTGTTTACCAGTTAAAAACAACATATGCCCTTAGTTTATCTGTCACTCAAAATGTAAAACTGCCTTTTCCACTTTCAGCTGGTGTTCATAATTGCCAGAATGTTCTTGAGACTACAGATTCCATCCTGAGATGAAATCATGTTTTGTAACTTTAATCAAAAACCCTGCGTCTTAAACCAAGAACATTATTCAAATGGAAGTAGTATTAGTAATTACCAAACATGATTGTTGTTAGAGTGAGGGTTGTGGAGTTATTGATGATGACAAACGGAGCAAGAGCCTCAGCGCTTATGGTGAATGCCATAAGGGATGTCCAAAGGGAACAACTCATTAGAGACAGTCGTGGAGGTAGAGTAGGTCTGCTAATGAGAGAAAAGGGTACAGGTAACTTTTTTTTTTTCTAACTAGCTTTATATTTTAAGAGTTTAGTTAATCTTTTTACTTTCACTGAACACATTTTAGATAACATTCTAAGTTGTAGTGAGATATTGTAGCATCCAGAGAAAACAGGTTCCAGTCGCTGCTATATTAAAAGTAAAAATCTTTACAAAAATGGTGTTCTGTTAAATCACATACAACACAAAGGGCAAGTTGATCAGACACTTAAAACATCAAATATCACACACTACTTGGAGATTTTACATAGTGGACTAATATCAGCAGGACTCCCTGGCTCAATGCATCAGGGTCTCATTAACTATACATCATTAAAGACCTTCAACACCACTGACAAGCTGCCCAGCTAAACCAATTACACTGGGGGTGGATGCTGAGCACAGAGTAAACAAAGCTAAACCGTTACACAGATTAGTTTTCTTTTTAACAGGATTCATAACTTTTGTAAATGTTTGGCACAAAGTTTTTCTTTATAGTCTTTCAAACAAAGCGCAAACAAAAATTGCATGTTCACTTATTTTCTTCCCAAACTATTGAGTCTTTGTTCAGTCTGTTTTCTCCTCATCCACAGGTTCAGTGGCACTGCAGAGCTCGCATGGTGGCCGGTGCCAACTTTTACATTGTGGGCCGCGACCCTGCAGGCATGCCCCACCCTGCCACAGGAAAGGACCTGTACGAACCCAGTCACGGAGCGAAGGTCCTCACCATGGCCCCAGGCCTCATCACCCTGGAGATTGTGCCTTTTAAGGTTGCTGCTTACAACAAGGTCAAACGAGCAATGGACTTTTATGACCCCAAAAAGTGAGTACTTGTTCATATTAGAATTTCATCTTGTTTCCCACAGTCCAAGTTTAGTGGGGTCATGGAAAACAGAAAGGGTTTGAGTCTAAAGAAGGAGTGCTCACTGAAACTACACTAAAAGGCTTATTTGTAAATTTAGTCCAAAGTAATACTTCACATTTAGGCCAATTAGAACCAGCAGCCTAAACAGAAATTACATTCTCCAAATTAATTACTCATTAGGCTTGTCTTGTTAAAAAACAAAAACATCCATTTTCTTTCCCCTTTTTTTCTGTTTATAGTGAAATGCCAAGCCAAGAAAAACAGGAAGTGCTTTTTCTTACGCAGTTGGAAGGTTTGGTGGATTTGTATGAGCTTTGATGTTGCTCAAAAATTACAGAGACCTGCCATTAATTAGTCTGTATATGAGCACCGCACATGACTAACAAAAAAAACAACCCCAAATCATGCAATCTCATTGCCTCCCCTCCGGATCTGATTTAGTCTCCAACATCAGGTTATGCAACTGTAGCCGTGTTTGGCCAGGAACTAAATATGGCCAGAATAATCATTAGATTTCCTTTGTTTTCCATGATGCATATTTTTGACGTTATCTCCAAAGCAAATTGGAGCTTAGCGAGAACATTAAGTACTTCTGTAGAAAGCCATGACGGTGCTTCTTAAAATAGTGTTTCACCTAACCGAGGATGTGTTTAGCTTTCCTTGGCTTTGAAGGCGTAGCATGACCAGGTAAGAACACGAGTTTCCTCTAAATTTGAAACACCGTTAGTAATTTTTGCTTAACATGAGTTCAGGATTGCATCATTTATATATGTTACAGGTAGGCACGTGCCAGAAGAAGCTAGGACATTCGAGACGATCCGTTTGTGAGACAATCTGTTGCCACACTGATAGATGTCATCTTTTTTTCCACTTTAGGATAAAAACTTTAGACAGGGTCATTTTGTGTAATATTACAAGTAGACTGTCCAAATTTGTTTTAGCTAGAGAGGAAGCAATGAATTAATGATTGACACCAATATTAAATTCAAAAACTGAGATTCCATACCATACCAATTCTATAACATGCATTGTAGTTATAAAACATGGAAACAATCGCCTCATTAACCTTCAGACTTTCAGCCACATCTCAGACTGGCATAACATAAATCTAGCAAAATACAGTTTTATATGTAATATCATTGACCTTGAGTCATTGTCATTGGCTTGTTATTTAAGGGGTAAAGCTTGAGAGAAGAATAACTGAGAAGTTATTTATGGTATGCCATTCTCAAGCCCACTGACAGCAACTTGCCTAATTTCAGAAGGACTATGGATGCTTAGCTTAAAACTAGCAAGACCCCTCAGTCTCTCTTAAGTGCAATGACTCAGATCACAGCGGTCTGTTTCTAATTTGACACTGTATAAAATGTTCTCAGAAGAACTGGCCCGGAGCTCCTCTACCTTGTGCCATGTGAAGTTCAAGGTCTTCACAGATTCTTAATGGTTCAGAGCCACAAGATGTGCTCTCAGCACCATGTGATAACAATTAGACCTTCTACTCCAGAAATAGGACGAGCTTCTCTGAATGTAAGCTCAGTGGAGAGCAGTGTAAATGTCTGCTAACAAGATGTCTAAAGTCTTATTTTTCCTGACAGTAGTTTATAGACAAAGCAAGAGAAGATGTGATGAACTTGTGCTCGTGTTCTCCTCAGTGCCGGTTAGAGAGGAAGGCTGTGCTTGGCTGCTCGCTTCAAATGGAGTTGTTCATATCTTAAACTTTTGTGAACCAGGTGTACGCCGTGTGCAGCGAGAAATGTTTGGGCAAAGGAAATCCACAATCCGAATGTTTGAAAGAAGCTTTTTCTTCACGTAGCCACAGTTTAGTGGCTTGTCAGACGTGCGCAATACCGTAAAGTGATCATTTAGGTTAAAGTTGTCTGAGCTGCCAATCGAGGACATTGCACTTGTTTTTTGTCTATTAGAATCACTGAATTGAACAGAAACTGGTCAGCAGCGCTAATCTACTCAATGTCAGTAGATTAGCTTCACAAGAAGTTAGGCAGTTGTTAAAATCAACCTTTTTAAAAAGGGCAGTAGCGCTCCTATATTCATTCTTCTTTTTGGGAAATTGATTCTTGTTGGTAGCATCACCTGGAGTTGTTGGCAGACAGCGGTGTTTCCTTAATGAGAGCAAAACTTAGTGGGTTCTCTTTGGAAGTGTTAAGTCTTCGTCTACATGCAACCTTGGCCCTCTAGCATCTCATAAAAATCTAGGTGTTTCATTTGATAACAGACTGAAATTTGAGAAACAAAATGCTGTTAAATCTAGTTTTTTGCAGCTAAGGTTGCTTAGCGAAGTTAAACCTTTACTTTCTTTCAGTGATTTCAGGTTGCCATCCCTGCTTTTATTAGCTCCTGATTAGGCTAGTGCAACACTTTGTATCCTGGGCTCAGAAAAATTTCTTTTAGAAAACTTCAAATGGTGCAAAATGCTTCTGCACATCTCCTCTCCTCCCCCTAACGGTTACCTGTTCATTTTAGGATTCAGTTTAAGCGGCTGTTACTTAGATTTAAAGTAACAAATGCCTAGGCCCCACGATACCTTTCTGATCTTGTACAGTGGCATAGGCCTTCAAGAGCTCTCAGATCCGCAAATAGATTTTTGTTGGAGGCTCCTAGGGTCAAACAATGTCTATGGAGAGATTGAAATTTCTCGGTAGTGAAAGCTTTGTCTCTGCCCTGTCAGTTTAAATCCTAACTAAAAACCAGTTTGCTCTGGCCCATGGATCCTAGCAGAGTTTATTCATTTTTATGATTGTATTGTCATTCTTATTTCAGTTTCATTTGTGGAGTGCTTTAAATCAACACGCTGTTTTTAAAAGTGCTATATAAATAAATTCATTGTTTAGTGAAGACCCATAAAATACCTTAAAATTACACGCAGGTGGAAAATAATCAAATACATTTACTAAAGTACTGAACTTAACAGTTTGTATTTAGTATTTCTATTTTCTGCTATTTCGACTTTACTATAATTCAGGGGAAAATATTGTACTTTTACTCCACTACATTTTGATCAGTTTGGTTACTTTTCAGAAACTGATCATTAAAACAAGGTCTAGTATAATCATCAGACTTTTTTGATCCTTGGTGGAAAATGCTGAAGACTTCCATTATGTATTTTAAATTAGTTAAATTCAAAACGGCATGCAAGGTAGTTAAAATTCTAAATCTACCCACTATGCAACAGTAAACCAATATACATAATATTGCAGCTGTACTTTTTCATATATATTGATGCAAATACTGTTGTACTTCTAGTTAAGTAAACACTGAATGCAGGACTTTTACTTGTAACACTATTTTTTACACTCTGGTATTGATACTTTTACTTAAAGCATCAGTAATTCTTCCACCACTGATTACACATTTACTCTAAAGTATTTCAATCATATATGTGGGGTAGGGGTCAGCTGTACTGGCCTCACTTTCCAACCACCATTGCAATGGCACGCTGATGCAGCAACTCTCCAGCCACAGTGATTCAGGATGAAAGCAGTTGCCAGAAATGGTCAGTGTATGAAATGTAGAGAGTTCAGTTAGAAAAATATTCTGATACACAAACGATCATCACATCTATTTTCACCGCATGGGACGTGAAATGTTATAAGAGCTCTGGTTTGTGGAAATGCTAACTGGCCTGCTTGTATGCCTCGATTCCAACGCAGCAGGCAGTTATTGTTGGCTCATGTTTGCTGCGCTGTTGATAATCAATCTTTACACTGATTTGAAACATGGCTGTTATTCTTTTTCTTTTCTTTTTTTTTTTTTTAACTGCAGCCATCAAGACTATGATTTCATCTCAGGCACACGCATGCGTAAAATGGCTCGTGAGGGAGAGAATCCTCCTGATGGCTTCATGGCGCCAAAGGCCTGGGCTGTGCTGAAAGAATACTACAAGTCACTGGAGAAGGCTTAATGGCTGCCTACAACACCGAGAAACAGTGGGTTCTACTGATGTTCATAACAGTGAATGTGGGGACCACTCCGCTACTGTAAAACCATGCTCCAGCTTCAGTCACTTTTACATTTCAGTCATGAAACTTAGCTCATTTGTGTTCCCATTATTTAACTAAACCTACTGATAAACATAGGACAGAGCGAGAGAACCAAGCCTTTGTGTCTTTGCACCAACTTAAAGCTACAGTATGCAACTTTTTCCAAATATTTTTGCTGCAGAAATCTGCCCCAAATCTTGTCTTAATGTGGAGAGGTGCTGCTGACGCCTCCTGTGACCCAGACTCATTGAACAGCACTGGTGGCAGTGCAGAGGTGTCAGCTTCCTAAAGGTTTTGAGCAGGACTGACTGCTAAACAATCAGAGATTTTCAATTATTTCTGCTCAGTCGGTAAGTTTTACATTCTCATTTCTTGTTGGGCAGAACGTGGTGGAGCATAGTAGAGCAGGGAGAGGGAGCACGGTGCAGAGCACAGTGGGGTGGTAGTAGAGCAGGGAGAGGGAGCACGGTGGAGTGATTTGGAGTTTCATAATAGTGCTACCTTAAGTTATATACTGTAGCTTTAATGACTATTCTGATGACTGGTTGCAAAAATAGTGTAAAGATTTAAAGAACATGACTTACAGTAGTTTGTATGGAAAGTACTGCTGAACAGTGCTTGAAAGGTGGGAATATAATTTAGCATTTCTGATGTCCACATTTTCAAAAAAAGAATTACTGCACCCGCTAGAGTTCCCTGAACACCGAACAATTTGCTTTGGACTGTATGTTTCAAAGTGGCACTTGCTCAGTGTTTGGTGTACACAAGTATTTGATGTAAACAATGAGTGCCTTGGCGTTCAGAAAGTGGATTCACATGATGTCTTGTTTGAATTAGGGCGCACACTGACATGATGCGCTCCCTGACCCCTAACCATCACAGCTATAGTAGACGCCTAGCCCAACCATCATTTTAACCTTAACTCAAACAGTCCTTGGAACTGAGGACCAGGGAAAATGTCCTCTCACAACTAAAATGTCCACACAGCCACAGAAAGACATGTACACACACACACACACACACACACACACACACCCTTGTGCTTTTTATCCCACTTGTTAAACAAAAGGGTCCAGTAGTGAAACAGATCAGCATTAGAGGTTTTTATTGGGATATAGAGCCCAAACCTTAAACACCTAAAGCCAATTTTAACATCATATTTAGTCTATTTATTCTCTTCTAACATTGTTTTCTCCAATTTTAACACCATATTTAGTCTATTTATTCTCTTCTAACATTGTTTTCTCTTTTTATTAACTGTTGTGCATGTAGTGCTCTGAGCAGTCCTGATATTATGTTACATTTCCATCACTGTATTTTATTCCTTCATAGGTTACTAATATTTTTCATCTGGTAACTAATTTTTAAGAGTTTGTGTAATTAGAGTGTTGGTGGTTACCATCGAGGGATCAGATTTGTAATGTTGTCTAATAAAGAACAGTTTATTTTTGCTTTCTGTGATCTTCACGTTTGTTACACACTTTGGATGCTTGTTTTTTGCATCACAGAGTTTCACATACTCAAAGAATTTTAAATGACAGCTGTGGATTTCATGTACTTTAGAAACTAAACTCAGTGATGAGATGTCATCAACTTCTAGCTGCCTGTGATCTGACTAACACATTCATATTCTGACAGCTTGATAGCTCTAAATCTCCATCTTTGTGACTAGCTCAAGTGCACTTTGTCATCAACATGAACAGTGCACTCTTCAGACTTAAGTTTCTCTAATTTCGTAGGCCCTGATTATTAGTCAGCTGTATATTGAATGAGACAGAGCCTCTACTGACCCCAATCAGACTCCGATACACTCAGTGTGTACAAGGAGCTGCAGCTGGCTCCCAGATGCAATGAAAACGGAACATGTAGGGTTAAAACAGGCCGGGAAGAGTGGCGCTGTCAGAAATACCCTGGATACTTCATCTAATCCAACTCCCAGATGTAATGAAGAGACTTGCCAACAGCAATTTTTTTCCACCTTTTGTTCAATCTCAAATGGCAATCAAGCTGGGAACTTGGTACAACTTCAAAGAAGAGCTTTTTAACAGAGAAAATCAAATGATTCTGAAGAGGATTTTTGTTCTTTTCACTGTCTGGAGGAGGAGATTAGTGTTCTCTGGGTAATGCAGGTGTCTGTTACTATGTTTCTTTAACCTCCTGATGTTGTCTTACATGCAAGATGCTCAGTGTATTTTAGTTCTGGGTCCTTTTTCAGCTTGTTCTCCCCATAATCAGATCTTTCTTTGAAACTTTTCATTCTTCTGAGGGTGTTGTTACAGTGTGGCACACTGCCAGAGAAAAAGGCAGAAGATGCCAGAAGAATTTGTGGTGTTCTGACTACTGTTTACATGACTTATGCCTCCGTTCCCCTGCACCAACTCATTTCAGTATGAATGGCTGCGGTGCAGATTTTAGATGACAGTCAGTGAAACTGAAGGATGATGTGAGGCTAGACTTTACAGTTTACAGCCAGTGTCCTCACAATGCTAGATAGATGATGTTTGTACAAAAATGTAATGCAGTATGTGATTTATGCTATAGATGACAAATGCATTACATTATTGTAGTATAACATGCAAGGGCTTTTTCCTTGCAGGTGACATTATCACTAAGATTTACAGTATCTTAACTTGGTCACTTAGTATGATGTTTAAAAGCAGCACATTTCTTAGGTACAACTATATTTTATAAAGTATCTAACACAGGACTGGGGGATATTGCCACTTCAATTCATTTGCAGTTTAAGCTGAATATACAAAAAATAATAATTCTATAAAACTGAATTACTGGCAAAGTTCCCAAAAATGGATATTTATTTGGATTACTTTAGACAATGACTAAGATTTTAGCAGTTCTTGCAATTAAATTCTTCTAAAACTGCTAATAAACTCCCATCTACTGTAATTTTCTAGTTCTTTTAGAATAACAAACAACCCCTCAAGTAAACAGGGTGGTACTTGGTATCTGTACTGTCTACAATATTTTTCCTACATTAGCATCAAATTACATATAGTTATTTACAGGAAATGTTCTAGGAAATTAAGAAATTATGGGATCTATAAAATAAATCACCATATTGTTAGCTACACCATGATAAATGGGGTTAAGGTTTGACAGAATGATATCTGAAAACGACTAAAAACATGCATGGATGATTACAGTACTTTATAAAATGATTAGCTGAGAAAACTGCCAGATTAAAAATGTATTTACATAGATAATGAAAACTAACATGAAGAAGCAAAGCTTAAAAACTAAATGAAATGTATGGAATACTATAAGCGATAACCGTAAAGTGCACTGACAAAAACGTTGCATGTACTAGTACTAGCATGAGATGCTGTATCACTTGACTCTTGTAAGCCAATGAAAATATCAGCAGTTAGCCCGTCCCCTCGATGCACACATACAGCATTACACTTGCACACAAAGTAGTACGTGCTATGTCATCATACCCGTCACATTCTACACCTCTACAAAGGTTTTGCTCTTACATGGACTCCAGCTGCATTTATGTCCAGTTTCCTTCCTTCCATCTGGTTTGAGTCCCATTCCCCCACCCCCAAACCCAGTTATGGTAAAAAAAAACAAACATGCAACATGCAATGCAGTGATACAGGACATGGTTAAAATTTAAGGAAAGTTGTGGTTCTCAGTGACAGCACTGAGCTATGTGCCAGGCAAGGTCTGTGCTGTGCTCTTCAGCAGTAATGATTTTGTGATCCTCTGATCCTTCATGATCCACTGGAAAGAGTTGTCTCACATATCTACTGCTCAAAAAAAGGGAACACTTGCTCATCGCAATATAACACAACGCGAGTTAAACTTCAGGGATGTAGGTCTGTCCATTTAGGAAGCACAAGTGACTGTGAATCAGTTTGACCTGCTTTGGTGCAAATGAAAGTGACAGCTGGTGCGATGGAGAGGCAAAAGCAAGACAACCCCCATAGAGGGAATGGTTTTGCATGTGGTGGTCACAGACAAATAGTCTCTCCTTATTCTTTTTGATTGATTGTTCTCAAGTTGTTTTGCTAGTGTCCTTCCCACTACTGGTAGCACGAGGCAGTACCTGCAGCCCAGTCAGGTTGCATCAATAGTCCAGTAACTCCAAGATGACAGCTATTTGTGCAGTCGCAGGAAGGTTTGCTGTGTCTCCCAGTACAGTCTCAAGAGCATGGAGGAGATAATAGGAGAACAGCTGTTGTGCCAGGAGAGCTACACAGGGCCAAAGAAACAGGACCAGGATCTGCTCCTCTGTGCAAGGAAGAACAGGAGGAGCACCACGAAAGCCCCACAAAATGACTTCCAGCAGCTACTGTCCTCCAAATACGACCCATGCTCATGGTCCAGCACTGTGCATCTTGATTGGCATTCGCCAGAGGACACCAGAATTGGCAGGTCCACCACTGGCTCCCCATTCTCTTTACAGATGAGAGCAGGTTCATACTGAGCACATGTGATGTATGTGAAAGAGCCTGGAGATGCTGTGGTGAAGATTATGCTGCCTGGAACATTAGAACATAACCGGTATGGTGGTGGGTCAGTGAGGGTCTGGGGAGGCATATCCTGGGAGGGCTGCACAGACCTCTATGTCATGGTCAGCGGTACCCTGACTGCTGTGAGGTACCGAGATGAAATCCTCAGAGCGACTGTCAGACCTTATGCTGGTGCAATGGAGCCTGGGTTCCTCCCGGTGCAGGACATCGTCCAGCCTCTTGTGGCCAGAGTGTGTAGGCAGTTCCTGGATGACAAAGTTATTGACACCACTGACTGGCCCTCATGTTCCCCTGACATAAATCCAATTGAGCACCTATGGGACATTATGTATTGGTGCATCTGATGCCACAAAGTACCATCACAAACTGTCCAGGAGCTCAGTGATGCCCAGATCCAGATCTGTGAGGAGATCCCACAGGACATCATCTGCCGACTCATCAGGAACATGGCCAGACCTTTTCGGGAGCACTTTCATGCACACAGGCCACACACACCGAGTCGAACTATGAATTGAAACTCACAACTTGGATGAACCTGTGATTTCAGTTTTTCACTTTGATCTTGAATCCGATGATTTTGGTTTCCACTGACCATCGTTGTGTCATTTTGTCCTGAGCAAATTATACCATGCACATTAGTAAAGGTTTTCAACTTGAAAAATGTCTTTTAGAGCCAATGTGTGATTTAGTGTTCCCTTAATTTTGAGTAGTTGTACAGTATGTTCTTTTCTGAAATTTGAAACATTCCAGGCATTGAGTTATTTTAGAAAGTAAATTTTACAGCCCAGTAAAACCTCACCTGGAGTTTTAGGAGAGTGTCAGTGGTTAACATACTGTGTGGTTAGAAGTTAAGACTGACTGGGTTAGAAAGATTAGCATTTATCAAATGTGTTTTAATGAATAAATTTACATGGAAATATTTTAATGGTCTAATAGTTGTAA